TGCTCACCTTTCCGGACCTAATACTAAAAGCATGGGGGAAAAGGAATTGTTAGCAATGGAGTTTGACAGCCCCATTGCTAGCAGTATGCCTTATTAGGTCGACCTCCACGTGGGTCCCCCTGGAAACCATCGTGAGCAATTCTTGTTGAATTCGTCACGATGGGCTAACTGACCTACTTCATCCCCACCTATAGTCCTTCACTGGTGCTCCGCCGGTGTATACCGATAGCGCGGGTGGGGTTACCATTCCATTATCATCCATTGAAAAAAACGGCTGATAATATGATCAGTATATCTGCGTTATGAGTAGACCACTAAACACACCAGCTTCAAACAAATTATTCGACAGATACAATAATTTACGCGTAAGATTGTGGTCCACAAAAAAAACTGACTTCATTTATAGAAAAACCAATTATTTTGGTTTCAAAATTAAACCACGGAACAGATTTTCATAAAATTTCTATAGGACAAATTTGTAAGTATTATAATATATTTTCAAATAAACAATAAATACCAAATCAGTTTACAGTTGACGGAGTTATGAGGTAACTAACATAAAAAAAAAATACAAACTCATTGAGAACTTCCTTCTTTTATAAGTCAGTGGAAAAAGATTAATATGTATTTTTTTTTCTTTCCACTCTCTTATAGTAGTAACCATTTATTTATTTATTTATTTATAGGATTACCAACATAAGACACAGCTAAACATTTTAGTACAATACACTGGTAGATTAAATCTCCTGTTCTTACATTTATAGGCAACCACAGCATACCTTGTGTTTAACAAACATTTACTATATACTGTGTGAATTCAGATGATACAATGATGATATAATTTTATAATACGTGTTGTAATACTTTCACAATTTTCTAATAAAAACTGTAATTACTTTTATCGAAAATTGGTAATTTTTACTGAATTTAAATTGGCAACATTCTTATCCGTTAAAAAATTAAAACATTCGAACGATCGGGTCGACTCGGCTATGTTCGTGGCGACTCGTACGCCAACGAATACTAATGAACGATATTAGTAATCGGACGACATTAGACGACAAAGAATGAAACTTTATTTTACAGAAATATACGACTACACCTATATAGGAGTAAAAAAAATATTAAAAATTATAATAAAGAAACTACAATGATGTACAACTACAAAAAAATGTGTGTGTGTGTGTGTGTGTGCGCGTGCGTCGCAATACTTGCAAAATGGATGAATGGAGAATGAATAAAATTAATAGTCGAATGATTTTCAAATCATTCGAATAATCTAAATGATTTGCTCAGCCGAATAATTAATAGCCGGATTAGTAGTTGCGTATCGCTAGATGATATTCTTAGAACATTTATGATATAATTAAGTTATAATATACCCAAAGATTTATTAAGGGCGATGTTACGTTACATATTATCATACATACATAATGCATTAGTTATACTTATTCTACGGTATTATGTAAAAAATAGTAGCTATATACTTTTCTCAAACATGCTTGGAAATGTGAGCATTATTTTGACAATCTTCTTCGAGATAAATCAAAATTGCCATACTGGCCAGATACATGCGGGCAGCGGCCGGCAAAAGTTGTATGAATATCCATATCTGTCGTGTTTTGCGGCCAGATAAATATATGTAAACTCATATCTGTCCTGTAATTTAAAAATGTGTAAAATACCTTTTACTTCGAAACATGGCTACCAAGGGAACTAATAAAAGGTTTTATTTAAATTTCGAACTGGCTTGCAAATAGAAAGCTGTTTATTGAAAAAAAAAAAACAAAGGGACATTATGGCGCGTGAAAAATTATTATTGTTCGTTATTCGTCATTGAATTTAAAAAATAAAATTGTGTTTTTGATTTCCGCGCATTGTTTGAGAAAAGAACTATATAAACCTTGGCCACAACTAGGCATTGATGGACTTACGTATGCGTGCCTCGGCTACACCTCGGCCCACATTTCCACGTTCGTATTATGAGATATCCTATTATTGTTATAAAAAATAAAAAAATATTTATTTATTTAATATCATTAATTCTTTTTAACTCTTTATTGAACCACTTAAAGAATAATATATTATACGCTTGGCTGGCGGTTTGGCTTTGAGTTTTGGTGAGGTTTTAACTTCCATATTTATTTTGTTTTATACTTTTTTGTGTGTTAGTTCTATTTTTTTATGTAACTTAGAATGGCAAACAAGCTGACGGCCCACCTGATGGAAAGTGGTAACCGTCGCCTATAAACATGAGCAGTACCATGGACATAACAGATAATACTGTTTCACCCATGATACCCCCCATGCGTTGCCATTCCTGAGTTATTCCTCTGTACTCTGTAAATTCACGCCATATCTCACCCTTCAAACACAGCCATGCAAACACATTTGCTTTACGGTTGAAACAATATATACGTATGATAAAAAAATCAAGTCGCCTAATTTGACAATTAGCAGACAAAAAGTTGACACGTTTTTGAAACTCGATGCTCTATCTATATAATCTGAGGACACTAACTCTACCCAAAATATTAATATGTATCATAAAAGACCCATCTACATACATACATACATATCTATCACGCCTATCTCCCATTAAAGTAGGCAGAAACAATGGAACACCAAATGTTTCGATACAAACAAACCTCTTTCGCTTCTTTCACATCTACTTTGTAATAAAAAATGTTCAAATAAAATTAAAATAACTGCATGCATTTCATAGATTTTTTTTTTAAGAATACGGACCTAATTTGGTTAGGGCCAAAAATTGTCGCATAAAGTTAATTCAGTTGCGACATCTATTTAAATTCGTGTCAGTGGTACTGAATGCTAATCGGTTACCGTATCTGCATATTTTGCTAAGATTTATTTTAGGATTTCGTCGACAGATGTCTGATTAGGAAACCAAGTCGGTGATGTTTGGCTGTCTATTTTTGTATCCCATATGTAAGGATGCTTTAAAAAGGTTTTTTATAGAATGTTTTGAAATATATTCGAATTTCATTTTGATATAGTGCATACCTATCTACATACGTAGGTGTGACAGAGAGGAAGGGATTGTTAGTAATGGGGAGGTTAGTCCCCATTCCTATCATTATACCCTATCAGGTCGACCTCCACGTGGTTACTCTGGAAACTATCGTGACTAATTTATCTTTGAATCCGTCACGAGGGGCTAACTGACCTGCCTTTTCATCCTCACCTATCACTTCTCACTGGTGCCCCGCCAGTGTATACCGATAGCGCAAGCGGGGTTACCATTCCATTACCACCCATTAAAAAAACCTGAACTCCCATAACGCGTATTTGAAACTAAGCACAGAGTAATTTAAGCACAGCTGCTTGACCGCAGATAAGTGTATTTTATTAAATATTCAATTTTTAACACAAAACTTAATTCGGAATTTAAAGATATAATTACATCTAGGTCTCGCATCGTTCGCCTTCGGAACGAATAGTTTCATGGTAGCACCTAGTTTTATAGTACAAAATATTCTAATTTGCGGACTAGGATTATCATAATTAGAACAACTCCTGCATCCAAATAGTGATCATAATATAAATATATCCTGTCAGCAATAGGATCCGATAATCTATAATGAGCCTTATGCCATTGTGGCAAGGTTCAAACTTGATGTGACAAATCGTATATCTATTGGTACCTTTCCGCTAAGTGGACACTATTTGTAGGCAAATATCGTCGTGGGTTAGTCCAACGTGTACCTATCTTATTAGATAACGCGGTAACATTATACGCAAGCCCTTTTGAGTTACGACATAAACATCTCACTTGGAAAATTCAAAAATGTACGTAAACATAATGTAAATTAAATTAAATTTAAAAATCTGTATAATAATTCGGAAGCAGTCCTCATCTTCACCATCATCATCATTTACCAAAGGGAGACTTTGTACAAAAGTCGATTGCTTGGGTACCTCTGTCCCATTCGTGTTTCAACCGTGAAGCAGTTGTGTTTGCATGGCTGTGTTTCGGTTTGAAGGGTGGGATATGCCGTGAATTTACTGGGTACGGAGGAATAACACCCGAATCCTCAGGAATGGCAAAGCATGGGGGGTATCATGGGCGAAACAGTATACTCTGTTATGTCTATGGTACTGCTCATGTGTATAGGCGACGATTACCATTTTCCATCAGGTGGGCCGTCAGCTTGTTTGCCATTCAAAGTTCTAAAAAAAAGAAAACCTCCACGCGGTTCCCTCTGGAACCCATCGTGACAAATTTATCATTGAATTCGTCATGATGGGCTAACTGACATGTCTTTTCATTCTTACCAATCAACCCTCACTGGTGCCCCGCCAGTGTATACCGATAGCGCAGGCGGTTTAAGCATTTCATTATCATCCATTAAAAAAAAATTACTGGATGATTAGTTAGTTCACTGATTTAACTACACACACACACACACACATTCACACACATACACACGCATACATTTTTATCACAATTTCACTGAACCCATAAATTATTGTTTCTCTAAAATTATGGGCTCCATTGTAATTTTTGTTTTTGTATTTGTTACTTCTCTGTTTCATATTGTTTCACTAAAAATGTAAAACAACAAGATATGGAAGAGGGCACTAACTCCTGATACACAGGTTTTTTCATACCTACCTCGGGAGTTAGGGACTTCAAACTGTATTGTAACAAAGAGTATATTAAAGATTATTTATTAAAAAAAAAAAAAAAAAAAAAAAAACTAATCATGCCAAGCCGAATCGCTGACTAATTGCAAGTGCATATCGAGATCATCGCGTGAATGATTTTTGAATGATTTTCCAACTACGGTATTAGTTATTCCTCCATAAGTAGAGTATAAATCATGAGAACGGTAATTTAAAGATATATTTTTCATTAACATCCAAAAAGTTCAAATAAAAAAAAAAGCTTCAACGAACGATGTTTGATCTGTGGCAATATCCGTTATAAGACTGGCCATTTGTAATCTTTTAAAAAGAAAAAAAAATATTTCACTCACCTATGAAAACTCTGGTGAAGTTCGTATTGAAATCACCACTGTCACTGCAGCACAAGTTGATAATTGTTTGTTTCGAATGCAAACGCGGGCAACAAGTGTCGTGAACCAACGTAAACTGAGGTGAGACCGGCCCAATTGCTGTGCCGATCTGCAGTGCTACCACGAAGCCGCGAACCGAGCAAGACAGGTTCTTAAGTGTCCACTTATTCTGACATAAAGCGAAGGAAAGAGACAGATAGTGCATAGTAGGTAATTACGAGGAGCGAGTAAATCGTTTCATAGTAAACTGCAGGTCGCATACCGTCATGCGCGGGTGACCACACTTTAGAACTATCTGTGAGACAGTCTATAAAAATAATAAAACGTACTTTTTTTTATACAACTTATAATGGCAAACAAGCTGATGGCCCACCTGATGTAAAGTGGTAACCGTCGCCTATAGACATGAGCAGTACCATGGACATAACAGAGTATACTATTTCGCCCATGATACCCCCCATGCATTGCCATTTCTGAGGACTCACGCATTATACCTCTTTACCCTGTAAATTCACGCCATATCCAAACCTTCAAATCGAAACACATGCATGCAAACACAACTGCTTCGCGGTTAAAACACGAATGAGACAAAGGTACTCAAGCAAACGACTTTAATACAAATTCTCCCTCTAGAAATAAACGTACGTGAAAAATTCACAACTTTTTGTATCGTAATACTTTATAGGCCGTTTTGTCCCGACATAGAATACCACCTCTTCCTTTCCTGTGGGTGTCGTAAGAGGCGACTAAGGGAGGGCTAGAAATGGGCAGCAGTGTCCCTCTTAAAACATCTCTAAAACCTAACAGCGGTTGCCAATCTGCTCAGTGTTTGCTCAGCGTGGCAACTACAATTTACAATCACTGAAGCATTTTCGCCAATAAAAAAACTGCTCTCGACAGGCTTTCACCTTGAATAGTCCAGGAACGTCACTAAAGCTATTTAGAACTAATGAAACTTCAATATTGAAGGTATTTTTTTATATTTAACTTACAATGCCAAATAAGCTGACGCCTTACCTATTGGAAAGTGGTAACTTTCTATTATAGATATAAAGATATGAACAGTTCCATAGTACTTTACCAAAACCCAAAATTCTGATAAGGCAATAAACATACAAGGCCTGGAAGACTTATCACACTGAGAGAATGAATGTATGAAAATGAATGAAAACACTATTATACCCCTCAAAAAATGACAAAGTTACATAACATCTACCAGAGGGAGACTTTGTACAAAAGTCGTTTGCTTGGGCACCTCTGTTCCATTCGTGTTTCAACCGTGAAGCAGTTGTATTTACACGGCTGTGTTGCGGTTTGAAGGGTGTGATATGGCAGTGAATTTACAGGGTACAGAGAAAAACACCTGAATCTTCAGGAATGGCAACGCATGGGAGGTATCATGGGCGAAACAGTATACTGTATTATGTCCATGGTACTGCTTATATCTATAGGCGTCGGTTACCACTTTCCATCAGGCAGGCCGTCAGCTTGTTTGCCATTCCAAGATACACAAAATAAAAAATATGTACACAAAGAAAAAATTATCTTAATTACAACAAAATAGGTAAAGAGGCAAAAATGGGCGGCCTTATCGCAAAATAGCGATCTCTTCTAGTCAACCTAACTAGTAATCAGTCGGACTGTACTATTTTCTCGCTAAGTAGTGTCACCCTATTCCAAGTGTGTCTTCAATGACTTGTGGACCTATAGACACCGCCTATAACACGCAACGTGCCTCAAGAGACTAGAGGTCAAACGCAGAATATCTGCCGAAATTATCTCACTCCCACTGCATGACACCGGATAACGTACATTAATGATCTTTATTGCAACGCAATAAGGTTTTACATTAAATGAAATGTGTTTATCATTTGTCTGTCTAGTCTAGTGCACCTGTACTTTTACTCATAAAATAGACTATTGTTCTAAATTCTTTTTTTTTATTATTTGAAATTACAGAGCTTTATTGTTATACCTTTTTTTTAATGGATGATAATGGTATGGTAACCCCACCCGCGCTATCGGTATACACCGGCGGGGCACCAGTGAAGGATGATAGGTGAGGATGAAGTAGGTCAGTTAGCCCATCGTGACGAATTCAACAAGAATTGTTCACGATGGTTTCCAGGGGAAACCACGTGAAGGTTGACCTAATAAGGCATATTGTTAGCAATGGGGCTGTCAAACTAAATTGCTAACAATCCCTTTTACCCCTTTAATAACCTTTTAATAACTGGTAATAAAACACTGCTAACTGTAATCTGTTTCAATATAACTTAATCGTGAAAAAGGGATTGTTGGTAATGAGGTCTAATAGCCCCATTGCTAGCAATTATATACAATTAAAAATATCATTACATACCTACAGGTGGCCCTATAAGTCTTTTGAAAAAAAAAATTAAAATAAAACTAATTACATTATGAATTTTTATTTACAATACAAATTTTTATTTATTTAAAAAACGAGAATTATTTTTTGAAAATAACGTCTTCTAAATATAATCCGTTACGACCACGGATTATATTTAGAATTTATTTTACTGGGTACAGAGGAATAATACCTGAGTCCTCAGGAATGGCAACGCATGGGGGGTATCATGGGCGAAACAGTATACTCTGTTATGTCCACGGTACTGCTCATGTCTATAGGCGACAGTTACCACTTTCCATCAAGTGGGCCGTCAGCTTGTTTGTCATTCTAAGTTGTTTAAAAAAAAATTAAAAATAAACTCTTGCAAACGACTTCTAAAATTGTCTATGACTGCGCGGTACATCACTGCTGAAATGCTTGCATTCCTCTGCGGATGTTTTCTTTCAGGGCATCAATTGACTGCAGGTTAGTATCGTACACTTTAGCCTTAAGGTAGCCCCGCAAAAAAATCCATCGGAGTCAGATCCCGACGTGGTAGCCAGGAAATGTCTCCTCTCTTAGAGATAACTTTGCTAGGGAAAAGTTGACATCGGGCATAGCAGTGTTAGAGGTGTGGGAAGTAGCTCCATCCTGAATTCCTGAATCCTCCATTCTTTTGAATTTTATATGATTTTATTTGACTTTGTTAATATGGTTTTGTTAATATTGTTCTTTCCTAACAAAAACATTAAGTATTTAGTTTATATCTAATCTTCACAAAATATTAATATGTTTTGTAAGGCATAGATAGATAGAAAGTATAGATTTACTTTGTAAGGCACTTGAAATTGCCACTGTCCTTGAAATAATATTTTGCACGTTAATGTTAGCAAAACATGTTAGGACTATACAAATCCTACAATGAACAACAAGTATGTCTTTGCACTTACTATGTACACATGTTTGCAAATAAATTTATCTTTATCTTTATCCTGTTGAAACCACGTCCGGGCATTAAAACCTGAAAAGTTTTGCTATTCTGGTATGAAAAACTCCTCGATCATAGCCACATATCGGTCTGAAGTAACAGTAACCGCGCGGTTACCCTCTGCTGTCCTCAAAGAAGTAAGACCCTACGATGCCACGGGCTGACGCTGACATAGATGCTCAAACTGTCACTTTAGGACTATGTAAGGGCTTCTAATGCTTATGTTTTGGATTGATGGGGCTATTTTTATTCAAGTAAACTTAGAATTAAGCATTCTTGAATAGTCATTTTTACATCATCATATCAGCCTTTAACTGTCCACTGCTGAACATAATCCTCCCTTGGGGGGTTTTGCCCGTAGTTGCCACGCTTGGCAAACAGTCAAGCTTTAGAGATGTTTTAAGAGGGTCGCTGTTGCCCATCCCTTAGTCGCCTCTTACGACACCAACGGAAAAGGAAGGAGTGGCCTATTCTATACCGGGACAACACGGCCGCATACATACGTCCGCATAAATCTGAATAGATTGTAACCCTACTATTGCCAATAATTCACGACGTTTATAGACAACGAGACACCAAACTTGAACTAGCGAATGACAAATTCGATTCCTTGTTTTTATGACTAACAGTTCCTCGGTGTAAAATAAACGTACCTACATATAATGAATAACATCAAATTTTTTTCTGAGAACTGAGGGCCTACCATGAAATGTTTTCCGAAATTTCGGAGCCAAACGAAACACAAATTTGATGTTAAAATTACACAATACATGTCATTTGGAAATATCAAAAATGTTAAAATATTGTTCCATTGGACTTTTATGATAGGATGTATGACAAACTCCATTATTAACATATATGTTAAACTCCATTTATTAGACCGATTTTGGTATAAACAAAATCACGAAATTAAATCCGAAATTTCGGTATTTCATTTCATGGTAGACCCGCTGATATTATTATCAATACGACATTATTAATGTCGGTTTATACCATCATTAATAACGTCATTTACATTTAATAGAGTACATATTAGTGGGTGTCGTTTGTGGGGAAATTCCATGTGGTCCCAGAATAGAATGGACGTCTATTAATCGAGGGATGGGAAGAAGCGTCTTCTCTGATAACATCACCAAAGCCTAACTTCAACCTTGCTGGTTGCGGGGGGAAAGGGATTGTTAGCAATGGAGTTCGACATTACTAGCAATATCAGGTCGACCTCCACGTGGTTCCCCCTGGACAATTTTTTGTTGAATTCGTCACGATGGGCTAACTGACCTGCTTCATCCTCATCTATCATCCCTCACTGGTGCCCCGCCGGTGTATACCAATAGCGCGGGTGGGATTACCATTCCATTATCACCCATTGAAAAAAAAACCTTGATGGTTACCAACCCGCCAGCTAAGCGTGGCAACTATTGGCAAAACTCTCCCGTACGAGAAAGGCCTATGTTCAACAATGGATAGTTAATATCTAATATGATGATGATAAATCCATTAAAAATGGATGAAGTAGAAGGTCAGTGACCTAATTTTTTTTTATATAACTTAGAATGGCAAACAAGCTGACGGCCCACCTGATGGAAAGTGGTAACCGTCGCCTAACGACATGAGCAGTACCATGGACATAACAGAATATACTGTTTCGCCCATGATACCCCCATGCGTTGCCATTCCTAAGGACTCAGGTGTAATTCCTCTGTACCCAGTAAATTCACGCCATATCCTACCCTTCAAACCGAAATACAGCCATACAAACACAACTGCTTTATGGTTGAAACACGAATAGGACAGAGGTACCCAAGCAATCGACTTTTGTACAAAGTCTCCCTCTGGTAGGTAAATTAACTAGTTAGTGTAACCATATTTAAACATGATTCAGTTAACGTTTTTAATAGTATGTTAAACGTTTTGTTTGCATTATGAAATACGACCACACTAACTATAGTTCCTTTGACCTCATATTAGAGCTTCTAACAAAATTAATGAAAATTAAGTGGGAGCATTTTGTTAAAAAGTAGTTAATTTCTAACTAGTCCTTCATTAACATGTTAGGAAATATGTCAAGGAGGTAGAATGAGAAGATAAATTAGCTCACGAGTTCAGTTTATGATTTATTTTTTTATATCTAACAAATGTGGCAAGGGTAAGCAAGCGTACAGCTTATTTGATAGTGAACGGTCATTGTAGTTTATGGAAAAAAAAAACAAAAGTGTCAGGGGAGAAAGGAATTGTTGATGAAATGTGACTACCCCATTGCTAACAATGTAGATGCCCTATCATGGTTAATTATTGTTGCATTCGTCACAATGAGCTAGATGACCTGCTTCATCCTCACCTTTTTTTTTAATACAACTTAGAATGGCAAACAAGCTGACGTCCCACCTGATGGAAAGTGGTAACCGTCGCCTATAGACATGAGCAGTACCATGGACATAACAGAGTATACTGTTTCGCCCATGATTACCCCTATGCGTTGTCATTTCTGAGGACTCATGTGTTATTCCTCTGTACTCTGTAAATTCACAGCACACAGCTATGCAAACACAACTGCTTTACGGTAAAAAACACGAATGGGACAAAGATACCCAAGCAATCGACTTTTGTACAAAGTCTCCTGTCATCCCGGGGGGAAGGGATTGCTAGTAATGCGGACTACCAGTCCCATTACTAGCAATATGTCAGGTCGACCTCCACGTGGTTCCCCCTGGAAACCATCGTGCTGGATTCTATATGTATTCATCTTGATGAGCTAACTGACCTGCTTTTTCATTCTCACCTATCATCCCCCACTGGTGCCTCGCCAGCGTATACCGACAGCGAAGAAAGGGTTACTATTCCATTATCAACCACTAGAAAACTCTTTATTAGGGAAAAATGTTCAGTTACAATCCTTACTAATATTATAAATGTAAAAGTAAACTTGTTTGTTTGTTATCTTATAGCGCCTTTTCGATTTAACCGACTGCTATTTCATATTAAAAAAAATAGCGGTGTCACGTGAGCTTTGTTGACCGTTATATCTACGTACATTTTAAATACCCTCATATTGTAATCTCTAAAGAAAATCTTGAGAAGGAAACCTATTTCACTAATTGAACGTTCCTTAGAAGAAAAGACTCTGAAATGGTATGCAGCCATTTTTAGTGGGTGTGAGAATATATCCTGTATAAGGAGTGGTATTTTTTTTATACAACTTAGAATGGCAAACACGCTGACGGTCCACCTGATTGTTTGAGAAGTCGATTGCTTGGGTACCTCTGTCCCATTCGTGTCTCAACCGTAAAGCAGTTGTGTTTGCATGGCTGTGTTTCGGTTTGAAAGGTGGGATATGGCGTGAATTTACAGGGTACAAAGGAATAACACCTGAGTTTTTAAGAATGGCAACGTATGGGGGTTACATGGGCGAAACAGTACACTCTGTTATGTCCATGGTACTGCTAATGTCTATAGGCGACGGTTACCACTTTCCATCAGGTGGGCCGTCAGCTTGTTTGCCATTCTAAGTTGTATAAAACAAACAAAAAACATATATACTTTCAAATATTTTAACAAGTCTGTTATCCAATATCTTAAACATTTTAACGTATTCGTTGTAGAATCTATTATTTTATTTATTCGTTATAGAATTATAAAACTAAAATAGATAGATATAGCTACATATTATCTAGAGGTAAGTAACTTAAACAATAGCTAGCTACATATTATCTACAGCTACACTTGAACTTAAACAATACCCAATACATACTCAACTCAAATTCTCCATTACTCGTATTTGGTTTTTATTTTACATTTTTATTTTGTTATAAGATTTTCTCGATTTGGACGAGGTTTTGGATTATTAGCTAGCAAATTCAATAGCGCCTGGATTGTGTGACTAACGACGCATTGTTTTACTGGTTTGACCGGTTTTAGGCCTTGAATTCCCGATTCCGAGCCCGGTCCGAACAAAAGGTAAGCCAAGTGAAGAATTAATGAATACACTTCGTATTTAAAGGCTAACCCTCAGTCCAGAAACGCGAAAGAATATCTTTCTAATAAATATAAACAAGTACAAGTTTTATCAGAGCAAAACATTGTACAAAAGTCGTGTATTTGGGTACCTTTGTCCTATTCAGATTTTCACACACACACAGGTTTTCAGAAACACAATTTCCTTGGAGATAAATGCAATTTTACTGTAAATGTGTACACATATATATATATAATTTCTTATATAATTACTAATTTGTATACCTCGATAGATGAGGTTGATCATAGAGGTATGTTACCTATGTATCACAAAATAAATAATTAAAATGAAATAAAAAAAAGTAATTCTGATTTTTTTTTTTGTAGTATTACCACATGTAGGTTATAATTATTATTCTTTTTATTGAAAAACAGGCTTTTTACAGAAACAAAAACATGTGACACTGCGACCTTTCCATGATATTTTGTGCTCACCCTTTTTTAAAGTTCGCTCTTAATTCCTATCAATGATAGAAATTTTAAAACGTTTTTTAGCGATTTTTTTTTTCTCCTCAGTGTATTTTCCAAAAGAAATATATCGTTTATGTGTAAGTGTGAGTGTGGCTACAGCCACAAATCAAGTGCTGCGGCGTTTCTTCCTCACTGTAACAAAATCTACAAGTATTTTTAAAGCATAAGACTAGTTGGGGCACATGCTTGTTAAGTTTGCATGTGTATGTAGGTTATACCTCGATTAGATAAGAATGCGAGTGTCATGCATAAAAGTTTTTTAATGTTTTTTTTTATGGGATGATAATGAAATGGTAAGCCTGCCTGCGTTAACGGTATATGCTGGCGAGACACCAATGGTAGATGATAGATTTTTTTTTTATAACACAGGGGGCAAACGAGCATGCGGCTCACCTGATGGTAAGTGACTACCGTCGCCCATGATCACCCACAACACCAGCGGCATTGCAGGTGTGCTGCCGGCCTTTTAAAAAGGAATATACTCGTTTCTTGAAGGTTATGTTGTCGTATCGGTTCGGAAATACTGCTGCTGGAAGTTGATTCCAAAGAATGGTTGTGCGTGGAAGAAAGTGCCTTAAAAAACGCACGGTGGAAGACCGCCACTCGTCCAGATGATTGGGGTGAAACTTTAGTTTGTGGCGGGTTGTACGGTGGTGAAAATCAGCAGCAGGTATCAATCCGAACAATTCCTCAGAACACTCCCCATGATAGGTAAGGACACAAGTAGGCCAGCTAGCTCATCGTGTCGAATTCCATAAGAGTTAACCATGTTGGTTTCTAGAGGCAACCGCATGGAGGTCGATCTGATATGGTATATTGCTAGTAATGGGGCTGTTAGACCACATCACTACCAATCCCTTTTCCCCAGTTATTTAATGTTAGGCATATCGAATGTTCCGTGCAACAAATGCCTGATTACCCGTTTAATAATTATAAGTGTGATCATATTTTTTATTTTATAATATTATATACTTTATAATGTAGGTAGGTGTTTATCATAAGAGCGATTTTTTAATAAGTACAACTGTACATAAACGCAACATGTATGTATGCATGTATTCAGAAGCTAGAAGCTTTTAAATCAAAATAAGTGGTGTTACCACAATCAAATTCGGTTATTTTTGTGGAAAAACAATCTTAAACATTGATGCCTTTTTGCCCATTCCGGGTGTTTGCCCAGCATTTGCTATAGACAACATGAAATAGCTTTGAGAAATAGTCCTTAATAAAGATTGTCACTGTCACTGAACCACACGGAACCTTCCGAAATTTAGGTAATACCAATAATAAGGACGTTAAGGCAATTAAAGACATTAAGGTAAATGAAATTTCCTTCATATCGAGAAATTTTTTCATCTTAAAAGACACTATTAGCACTGTACGTACTATAATTCTTCTAGAAGTAATGGCTGTAATTATTAAATTTATGCGTAAAACTAAACGATACAAAATGTCATTAGCTATTATAACCATATTGACAGTTAATGTCAGCTGTCATCTGTGACGTTTTATAGGTAGGTAGGATAAATGAAATGAAATACATAATGATGTTGATTTTCAGTATGCAATTCTAAAAGATTTAATTAAATTTAATAATAAATAAGTGTTAAAATGTAATAAAGCGTATACTGAATATAAGCCCACAAGATTAGTCATAACCATTCCAGCAGCATTTATGTAGTTTTATAGAAATTATGTATGTTAATAATAGAATAGCTGTGTTGAAGATATGCCTTCTTTTTTTATCTTTTATTTTTGATATTACTGCAAATCCGTGCGAATTTAACGTAAAAGTAGAACAAGGTATTCACAACGAAGGCTTTCACAGGTATAAATATTCTATATAATTTAAAATAAAAACAAACTTTTATATTATTTTACTTTAATTATATGTTTGAGAATTCCATTCGAATTCTTCACAAAGAGATGTTCATTAATTATCATATTTACTTATTAAAAAGCATTTTTACGCTAATTAAACTCACAATTTATAATAAGCGTTACTAGCTAATAGTGATAGGATAAAAAATAATAAATTTAAGATATAATCCATTTGTTTACCAAATTTTATTGAAATAAGTTCAGCCATTTAACTATGATTAAGTTACAAGGACTATGAGGAGGCCTATGTTGAGTAGTGGATAGATAATTCCTAATATGTTGTGATGAAGGCACAAATATCTGTAAATGAATAACCTTTATCAAAACATTCTTTTAAATTTTTGCATTTTTAGTATTAACTGTATCCTTTGGCCCATATATCAAATTTTATATGAATCTGTGTAACCATTTTAAGTATTCATTTTCATTCATTAATATTCATATTAATAAATATTATAAAGAAGTTGTAGATAGATATAAATTTAATTGTTTGCTACATAATTAAATATCTCACCAAAAACTGATTTCAGCTGTGACAAAACCAATTATTTTAGATTAAAAATTAAACTACCAATTTTTTTATGTTTATAAACTATTTTGGTAAAAAAAAAATTCTTAAAAACAATTTTGGTAAACACAACCAATTTTGTTTCTATGGGACCAAACTCTAAGTATATCCCTTTAAATAAAATAGTATTCAAGGTAACAAAAAATATCAACTAAATTGAGCACATCCTTTTTGTAAAGTCAGTTAAAAATGTAAAAATTACAATAGTAATACATTTCTAATTTATATATTACTTTAAAATATTTTAAATTATTTTAAAATATTAGTTTAAAGGATAACATCTTTTTATCCTAATATATTCTTTCTAATTTTTACAAACTACTTCAATCCTGAATTAACTTGAAAATAAATTCACTAAACCTGAATTAATCACATTTTCCAGAAATATAACATATAGGATACTGTTCAACACTGAAGAGGATGAAGAAAGATGGTTATACAGAGACTGTATAGTGGGACTGGAGCAGACCCTGCCGCCCGGAGTGTACACCAACCCTGACGAGTTGGGAGACTTGAGACGAACCAATAGAGTAAGTATTTTTTATGTTTTATTATCGTAAGTTTTATTTTAATTGATGATAATGGAGTGGCAACTCCACCTGCAATATTGGCATATGCAGACAGGTCACCAATGATATGATGGTGAGGATAAAAGCAGGCCAGTTAGCCTATTGTGATGAATTCAAAAATAATGAACTGTGATAGGTTTTAAAGGAACTACATGGAGTTCAACCTGTAAGGATATGTTATTCTAGCAATAGTATTGCTAGTTCCCATTTCTAATGAATCTCTTCTTCCCCACCCTCTCTTTCATGGCTGATAATGACAACCCCAACTTGGTAATACTATAATATTTGCTGGCGGGACACCAGTGAGTGATGATGATATGATAAAAGTGAATCCAGTCAAGTCATAAAATATACTTATAATTAAAAAAATATATAAATACTAAATATGGTGCTACATGACATGTGTCGAAGATTAGCGGATCGCAAGTCGGTTGTCTATCGCCCTGCACCTTGCGACCTCTGCAGTCGGTTAGACACCGCATCGATCGCTTGTGTCTTGACCGAATATAAATTATTAAATTATAATAAAAATGGAATGCCTACGGTCACTTTCTATCATCGTACGGCTCGCCATCGACAGGGAGTTCACCCTCATACCTTACAGCCTAAATGGTCGCGTACAACGCGGTTTCGCGGTATACCTCTGGTATTACAGGCGTTCATAGGCTACGGTAACCGCTTACCATCAGGTGGGCCGTATGCTTGTTTGCCAACACAGTGGTATAAAAAAAAAATTAATTTTGTGCTTATATGTTTCAGCTAAATGCGATACCAAAGAATCCCATAAATATAGAACTACCGGCCGAACAATCCGACCCGAGTACTGTTTATGTGATGGATAACATCAGGCATAATGAAGCATATTTGTGGTTGCCAGTGCATGCTAGATATCATCAGGCAGTGTCTGGTGGAAGGTAATTTTTTTACTATGAATGTGAATGTGAGAAAGACTCTATTTTCCGCGCTTAGCCTCTCATTTGGGCCGTTGTGCGTATGAGTCGTGGCTAGTACAGTCAACCAAGCTCCGCCCAGAAGCGCAGAAGCTTCCTGGGTTCTTCACAGGCCTCACGGAACGACCTCACCGTTAAAATAATTATACTAATAAATTTTATACTAATAAAAGTGGTAACTGTAACCATACCTTACTGTAACCCTTAGCTCCAGGGAGAAATGATTTTTAGTAATGGGATCTCACAGGCTTATTGCTAACAATATAGAGTATATTGCTAGCAATTGGTCAGGTCGGTCTCCGCAAAGTTCCCCTATTGGAAACTATCGTGGTTAAGTTGAGTTGTCACGATAAGCAAACTGACCTGTTTTTATCTTCACCTATCATACCTTACTTATAATCCGCCGGTATATACCGATAGCACAGGTGGGATTATTCCATTTTCATACATTAAAAAAAAATTACCTACACTCAAGAGCACTTAGAGTCGCATACAAGGCGGCTTATTGCTCCGTAGTAAGCAAAGGCATCACTCAGTCTGCTATAGTATGACTATTTCAATGCTCTTCGCCATTACTCTGTTGGTCTAGAATGATCCTTAGTCTTTAGAAGAGATATAAAAACGAGGAGTTTTGTGGGATGAAATGCATGAATATAAACTTAATGTGTTCCTAATGTATATTGACTAAAATAATTAAAATGTAAATAAATAAATTAACAATTTATTTATTTACATAATATTATCGGTATCAAAGTATTAAGCTTACAAGCACAGTTACAAGCGATATCAAACTCATAAGTCTTAGGAGAGATTTTGCCTCACTCTGCATGTTCTACCGCTTGTACAACGGATTGTGCTCAGAGGAATTGTTCAATATGATGCTACTTTCTACCATCGTACGGCTCGCCATCGGCGGGGAGTTTACCCTCATACCCTATACATTATACCTCATAGCCTAAATGGTCGCGTATAACGCGGTTTCAAAGATGTTTTCTCCCAAGAACACTCAGGTTATGGAATGAGCTCCTTGCCGAGGTTTTCCCAAGAGACTACAGCTTGAGATTCTTCAAAAGAGGTTTCTTCAGGGTCAGCCATGCGCGCACAATGTCTCTGATATTGCAGGCGTTTGTAGGCTATGGTAACCGCTTACCATCAGGTGGGCCGTGTGCTTGTTTACCGCCTCAGTGGTATAATAAGTACACATGAAACTTTATCCTAAAATACAATTTATAGCACAGCAAGAAATGAAATAGAGGCACCAAAATTGTACCTGCGCTGTCCCGACCAGCGTCTAGAGCTATGCAACAAGGCAGTCGTCCCATCTATAAGCCTCCTATGCAATGGCAGCTCTAAAGAGAAGTGCAGCTGGAAAGTGATACCGTACACTATGGTATGTCTAAAAATATTAATATATGTATATCAATTTACGATTTTGTCTTACAAGAAAGTTTACTTGTATATTTCGTGGCAAAAACTGTTTATATTGATTTAAAAACTAAACTCTCTCTTTTCATTTAAGAGTTGCTCTTGTTGGAGCAACTAATACATGCGTTTTCTTCCAGCCAGCTCTATCCTAGGCCATATCTTTGATCTCCCTATACGACATGACACCTAGTGTTTCCTTTATCTGTCCTTTGCAGTTATTCCTCGGTCCTCCCCATCCTCTCTGGGGGGAAAGGGATTGTTAGTAATTAAGACTAAGTATCTTATTGCTAGCAATATACCCAACCAGGTCAAACTCCACGCGGTTCCCCCTGGAAACTATCATGATTAATTCCTGATGAATTCATCATAATGCGCTAACTGGCCTGTTTTCATTCTCATCTATCACCCTTCACTGGCGCTCCGCCAGCGTATCCCGTTAGCGCAGGCGGGGTTACCATACCAGTTTCAACCATCAAAAAAAAACATAATAGTGCACAAAGTCGAGCTTATCTCCAATAGAGATTTCTTCCAGCAAACCCAATATGATGTTCGTAACAATGATTCCTGTACAAATCGTTTTCAGATGACAGACACATTGATATGGGATGTTCCTGTGGGGAATACGGACCACTACTACATAGTGGCGGTGGGCACCAGCGTCGTCATAGTGGTGGGCTCCATGTACCTGCTCAAGACCATACACGAGTACAAAGTTGGGCTACGAAAGAAGACACTGTGATTTTTATGAGAATTGTCGATGATCCCAGACTCACAAGCGGTATCGATCCCTTGAATCTTAGGAGAGATTTTGCCTCACTCTGCGTGTTCTACCGCCTGTACAATGGGTTGTGCTCAGAGGAATTGTTAAATATGATGCCCACAGCCACTTTCTACCATCGTACGGCTCGTGGTATAAAAAAAATTCTATATTGCACTAAAACATACAGTAACAACAAGAAGTTAATAACAATGTTAGCAAAGGCAAACTTTTTTTTTATACCACAGGTGGCAAACAAGCATACGGCTCACCTGATGGTGAGTGGTTACCGTAGCCTATGAACACCTGCAATACCAGAGGTATTACGTGTGTGTTGCCGACCCTGAAGAAACCTCTTTACCCCCCTTTTGAAGAACCCCATGCTGTAGTCTCTTAGGAAAACCTCGGCAAGGAACTCATTCCACAACCTGAGTGTTCGTGGGAGGTAACATCTCTGAAACCGCGCAGTACGCAACCACTGAGACTGTAGGACATGAGGATGAACTCCCTGTCGATGGCGAGCCGTACGATGGTAGAAAGTGGCTGTGGGCATCATATTGAACAATTCCTCTGAGCACAATCCATTGTATCATACTTATCTCTAAAAGAGACTTCTTTCAGTCAATCTAACACAGAGTTACTTGAAATTAAAAAAAAAAATATTCGATATCCTCCATGGTGCAATACTTGCATTGCTTTGCATATGAGGTTGTATATTCAATTCTCAATTGAATCAATTTGGGAAAGGAAATTTTTTGAGTTGCCTCAAATTTGGATGTTCTGGGTTGTAATGTGAAAGTAAATGTCCAGGAATAATCCACGTTTATTTATTTATTTTATTTATTCTTTATTGACCACAATACAGAAAAAAGTCTGGTACAAAAGACGGACTTAATACTCACCAGAGGTAGACTTTGTACAAAAGTCGATTGCTTTTGTTCCATTCCTTTGTTCCATTCGTGTTTCTACCGTGAAGCAGTTGTGTTTGCATGGCTGTGTTTCGGTTTGAAGGGTGGAATATGGCGTGAACACCTGATTCCTCAGGAATGGCAACACATGGGGGGTATCATGGGCGAAACAGTATGTGTGTGTACTGTTATGTCCATGGTACTGCTCATGTCTATAGGCGACGGTTACTACTTTACATCAGGTGGGCCGTCAGCTTGTTTGCTATTCTAAGTTGTATAAAAAACATTCGCTTATTAATAAAAACTAAATTCTCCTACAAACCTATTTTAACTATTACAATGTTTTGTCACTTTCTTTCAAATTGAGAATTTAGCACTAAAAAAAGAGACAAAACAGTTCAATAGCTAAAATGAGTTTATAAGACAATTTTATAAATAAGGGGGTAAAATTTAAATGTTTATTTGTTTGTTAAACATGACTGGAAATTTTAATTATAATTAATTTGTTAAAAAATTTTATATTAAAAAAAAATAATAGTAAAAATTATATATTTTTTATTTTCTCTACCAAGTTTGGCCCTCTCTTGATGATGAAAGTATTTAAAGAAAATATTTATATTTTAAAGTTCATTCTCCAATCTCTATTTAATCAGAGATAATAAAATACTTAGGGGGGAAAGGGATTGTTAGTAATGGAGACTAAAAATCCCATTGCTAGCAATATACCCAACCAGGTCGACCTCCTCGTGGTTCCCCCAGGAAACTATCATGGTTAATTCCTGATGAATTCATCATGATGGGTTAACTGGCCTGTTTTCATTCTCATCTATCACCCTTCACAAGTGCTCCGCCAGCGTATCTCGTTAGCGCAGGCGGGGTTACCATACCATTTTCATTACTCATTTTCAATACTTCTTATTGGATGATAATGGAACGGTAACCCCGTTTGCGCTATCGGTATACGCTGGTGGAGTACCAGTGAGGGATGATAAGTCAGTTTTTTTTAATGAGTGATAATGGAATGGCTACCCCACCCGCGCTACCGGTATACACCGGCGGGGCATCAGTGAAGGATGATAGGTGAGGATGAAGCAGGTCAGTTAGCCCATCGTGACGAATTCAACAAGAATTGTTCACGATGGTTTACCAGGGGGAACCACGTGGAGGTCGACCTAATACCTATTATTATAGCATATATTGCTACCAATGGAACTGTCAAACTCCATTGTTAACAATCCCTTTTTCCCCGATGATAGTTCAGTTAGCCCACCGCGAAGGGTTCAATAAGAATTAATCGTGATGGTTTCTAGTGGTAACCATTTGGAGGTCGTCCTGACTATAATATGATACTGTACTCACCAATTAAACCTCTTTCTTTTCACTAGAAAATAATATAGGAAAATTATTCTCTCGATAGCTATATTTTCCATAGTGAAAATCCATGGTACTTTTAAGCATTATTTGGAATTCTTTTAATTAATTTTTTTTTAAATAAAAAAGTGCCATAATGACAGAAATAAAATAACTTTTAGAAATACCGCAATACTTTCGTTTAAATATCGAATAGCAGAACACTATAGCGCCATCTGTGATTGTACATTGTCCTCTCCTGCCTCAACCTCTTAAATGTGTGAAACAGTATGCTTATTATTTTAAATTCTTGTAAAGAGCATGTGAGATGCTCTTCGCAGGGCTTCAATGCTGAAGCAATATAGGATCCCTTGCTTTTCTAAAAAAAAAACCGGGCTTAAAACATGTTAAAGTTTTTACTTACTTATTTATTGATTCTATTTTAACTTAAACTTAATATTATTTCTAAGTATAATTTAAATAAAAAAAATATATAGTATATATTAATCTTAAATATACAAGTAACGTATATTTCTCCTTATATTTATTGACGTTATTTCCCTTCTAAATAAATACCTACTTACTACACATTAGTTACTGATGTTTACCTCATTTAAGTGGTAAACGCATTAACTGCAGACTGGGGACTACACCCCCCGTCGATAATGTTTACTCTGTGAAAGCCAATTATGAACAATCAGCTATTTCTGCCGTTCGAGAAGTAATTATTTTTTTTAAAGGCTACGATAGAAAGGTCCTTAACCCCGCCTGCACTATCGATGTACACTAACTGGGTATCAGGGAGGGATAAGTTTTTTTTTTTTTTTTATATATATAATTGACAAAAAAGGAAAGTGGTAACAGTCACCTATAGACAGGTGAAGCATGATGATGATGAAGTCAAATCATTGTCGAGCGCGTAGAGATCTTGAGAGAATATATTGCTGGTAATGGTGCCACTAGGTCCCATGACTAACGACTAACAACAACCCCCCCCCTTCTTGAGGAGTCACGTCAGGCACGGAGGCATGTGTGGCGACCTCTGCCACGGCTCAAGTCCGGCCGGGGGCGTGCCGGAGACGCGCGACCGTGGACGCGCGCCCCACAGATATGGATTTAAGATTAACGAGGCCACGTAAACGTGCAGTGTGGCCATCTTCAAAGTGCAGATTTTTGCTAAAAATCTATCAAATCTGAAAGTGATTTATTTATTTTTAGCTAATTTTGACAAGAAATCTCTTGACTCTGCATATGATAAGATTCTATTAAAAAATAATGGTTAAATATTTAAAAAAAAATTAAATCTTATAGTCTGCCTGATAAATTAAAATAATTTTTACTTTAATATATTTTTAATATAAAAGAAAATAAAATGGTAATTTTATGATTTTATTATATATTTTTCTATTGATTCTATTGGTCAGTTCGGAATGTAATTTCAGATAAGAAACCTAGTTTTTTTTAACATACGCAAGTTAAACTTTCCAAGTTATTTTACGTTTAACAAATTAACAAATAGCACTAAAACATAAACTCTTATAATTTTATAAACTAAGCAATGCTAGGCAAAATGTATAAAATTTAAGCATTTTTTTGTTTAGATAAAATCAATAAAAAAAAATTTTCTTTCGTAAACACGATATTTTCCTCATGAAAGCTATCAAGCGTTATTTTCTTTATCGCTAAATGTATTCATGAATAAAATTAATTGTATTTTTAAACCATAATAATTATTTGAAATATTAATAGCAAAACTCATTATCGGGTATTTGAAATACGAATTATTAATTACAATTTTAGGAGATAATTGAAACACAAATACCAAATATGTATTTGTACTTTAATTACAAGTAATTTAAATATTTCCCAGGCCTTTAACTAAGTAATGAAATATTAGAAATAATTTCTACTAAACTAAATTAAACTCAGAGTAATATTATGTACATTATTTCAATACGCGCTACAGCATAAGTGCTAAAATGGCAAGAAAGTGCCAGTTACGGTCACACTTGTAAAACGCGGGCGCGGCGAGGCACGGCGAGGCGCGGGTGTGACGCGAGGGCCGGGGCGCGCGGCGTGTTTACACGCGGGTGCAGGCGGCAGGCGGCAGGCGGCGGGTGCAGCGGGCGGCGATCGATGCTGGGCGGGGCGAGCGCCGCGCGCCGCGCCCGGCGCCAGTCCGCCTCGGGGCCGCGTCCGCGCGGTCGTCGCCTGTCGCTGTCGCTGTCCGCTGCGGCGCGCCGGAGTGTCTCCGCGACCGCGGGCGCCCGGCGGCGGCGGCGAGCCTCGCGCCGCCCGCCCCCGCGCCCATGCCGCGCCCGCCCGCCGCTCGCCCGCCCGCAGCCGCAGCGCGCCCGCTCCCGCGCCCGCGCCCGCCGCCGCCCGCCGCCGCGCGCGCAGCCTGGCCGCCCGCGCCGGCGCACCCGCCGCCGCCGCGCCCGCGCCCGCGCCTGCACCTCGTCTGCGCCCCGTCTTCCTCTGGGCTCGCCAGCACGACGGCACCGTGCAGGAGGTCCACTGCGAGGACTACGACCCGCGAAATCGTATTCGTATAGCGCGCACCCCGAACGGTTGGCGCGTGATCCCGCGGACGGAGATCTACAACTCGATCCGTGTGCCGGCGCCGCCGCCGCGCGAGCGCAAGGAGCGCCGCCGCCGCGGCCGCTCGGGCAGGTCGCGCCGGAGAAGGGTCGACCGCCCGGACCGGGGGGCCGAGCAGTGCGCCGAGCCGGCCACGGTCCAGCCCGCGTGGCTAGCTCCCGATCTGGAGTCACACATCCCCTCGCACACGATCGCGGTGCCGCGAGTGGTGCAGCAGCCTCCGCCTCCGGCGGAGCCCACCCCGCTGGACAACTTGCTAGCGGTGGCCGAACTGGAGTTTAATCAGCAGCGCGGTGAAGAACTTGAGTTGGAGTTGCAGGCGTCTACGAACGGTCAGTACGCGTTCTTACCCGAAGAGGAAGTGGCGCGTGACGTGATGTCCTTCGAACTTGGAGAACCGAAGGCAGATGAGATGTTTTTCGAGCGTAAAACACATGCACCGGAACGCACAGTGGAGGAGGACACTTTTCCGAATGACATGGTCGTGCATAAGGACTTGTTTGATACGATTAGCGAAGCACATTACTTGCCAGAACTAGGTGGTCCGCATGATGAAGCGCTATTGGAATCTCTGGTCGAGAAAGGCTGTGAAGATAATCAAATACTAGGGCAGGCGCTGGACAAGCTCGCTCATCTCGTTCATGGCTCTGGTGATTATGCTGAGGAGGAAGAAGATATGTTATTAGGTGGTGCACCAGTCGCAGATATCATTGATCGACTGGAACAATCGTTAGAGTCACCAGGCCGTAGTAGTATTACTGCTGCGCAAGGTCTTCTTCATCTTCATCATATTGGTGATCATCTTCCTCCACCGGAACACCAGCAATCCGTTGAACAAACGTATATGTCAGATGAAGTGTTTGTGCCAGATCCACCAGCGGAATGCACGATTGAAACGTTAAATACCGGATCAGAATTGCAAGAACCAAATGAAGTTAACCATTTAGATTACGATCATAATGCTGAAAAGAGGCTACAGAGTGATATCGATAACTCTGACATATTGTATACTGAAAATGTACCTGACACTCAAGAAACTTATGAAGAACAACAGTCACAATCAGTACCCGATCAAAGTGATACCATGGTATCAAGTGAAACGCATAATGATGATTCAAGTGTAAATATTAGTGAACAAGTGGAGAAAGATGAAATAAATAATGCGGAAATGTGTGACTTAAATGATCAATCCTCTGTTGCACCTGAGATTACATCAGTAGATTTTGCGAAAGATTTAGAACAGACGTCTAACAATGAAGAATTAGTGCCAACGGATTTGAGTATAAAACATGTCGAGAAAAATATTTCACCTGTTGTCGTGGCAAGTGCTGCAGAAACCACGAATGCAGCAGAAGACAGTTTATCAGATAAAAGTGATGAACAACCTAAGGATTTGAGTGTACATCGTAGGTTACCCACTCCGCATGCGTCGCCGAGAAGGATAGAAATACCGCGAGCACCTTCTAGAGAATCGGATGCTATGCAATCCCCACAGCCTAGTGGTATTCCCGCTGTGCCGTCATCACCAGAAATATTCACTATGCCACTTACAAAAAGCAAACAAACATTATTTTTAGAAACACTTTTATCGTCGCCGTCTCCTAAAATGTATACGTCTGAAGTCACGATAACTAAACAACAGTGTGAGCCATTAAATTTGGGTAAACACAGAAAATCTGCCAGTCCTACTGTGTCTAGTTGCTCAGATGAAATAAGAAAGTTAAACAAAGATTTTGGTGAACCACAAGAGAAAAGAATAAAGCGTGAGTCCTCAGAAGACTTAGCAAAAATTAGTAAAGTATTTAATAAATGCAGTGATGACCACGAGTCTAAACAGAAAAAGCCAGATCGACCAACACATAAATCGGGTACAGAAGCATCCCCAATGAAACAGTTACACGTTTTAAAGACAAGCCCAGATTTTAACATTCCAGATCCTTTATTAATACCAAAAGACAAACTTAATGATATTTTAGAAGCACCTGGGAGAGAAATCCCAGCATTATTAATACAAAGGCCAGAATTAAGATTACCCGAAGCGTTTGCATTCCCAGCTGTACTACAAGATCCCGAGATACTCGTCGTATCGTTACAACAGTTAGAAAACATAATCGAGAATGATGCCAAAAATCAGCTAACATCTCCTAAGGTGAAAGAACCAAAACCGGCTTCTGTAAAAAGTACGCCTAGTAGCGAACAAACACGCACGACGCCGCAACCTGATCAAACAAGCCAGCCAAAACCTATCCCATCGATGGATGCTCTTGCTGGCGACATCGACGCTGCGACATCAGCAGCTCTCAATCAGATGTTGTGGTTACCCTATCTCAGTCAGTTAGAAGCAATGGCTGCTTGTTCACAAAATATGGACTTTTTAAAAGCCCTAAATTCATCCGGATATACAGGGTCAAATTATCCAGACTTATCTCAGATGTTTAATCCTTCCGCCAGATTTATGGGCCCCACCGGATTTCCTATGATGCCCCCTATGGACTATGACAATCGGTTACAATTTGCGATGTGGCAAGAAGCAATGAATCATGCGAACGCATCACAAAGACAGAAGCCCAGTGCTATGGAAGCTCAGATGAAAGAATTGGCATCTAAAACAAGTGACGTTCAGAATCCCTATGTTCACTCGACAAAGAATCATCAAAGTAAACCACATTCGTCAGCTCGCACTAGCCCAATAGCCCATAATTACAACAGCAACCAGCGGTCGATGGCACACAATCCATTCCTCCAGAGCATGTATCCCGGAATGAATCCAAACATCCGACCTAACATGCCACTGCCGGGGCTTCAGATACCCTACTTCAACCCAAATATGATGGGGAGTCAACGGTCCCCAAGAACAGGACAACAGAAGAGTCCAACATCACCGTACTACCCGAACAACAATTATCTGCAATCAATAAAACAATCTGAAACACAGTCGAGTCAAAGAAGTAGCAGCACTAGTTCTCAAGAGTCTCCGCGGCCAAGGATCAGTGTGAAATCCCTACAAAACCTTTTGGAGCCTACGGCAGCCGCTGCATCCGGGGTGGGCACCTCGAGAAGGTCTGCCAACCCCCCTGCAGCTTCTATGGGCCGACGGAGAGATGAACCGGAAGTTGGCAGCACTACACCATTAGGGGAGCCACCGCCGCATCTCCCACCGCATCCTCATGATCCATCATCATTCCATCTTTGGCACCCGTTATTTGGCAAGTGAGTACGTTAATATTTCGCATACTATTTTGTATTTCTTTATCGAAATAATATACTATATATTTTTTCATTCAGATGCTGATCTAGTCGGCTGGGTCACATCTGAGTGAATTGCTCTAATTAAATGTTTACTTTAATTGCTTTTCTTTTTTTACTAACATAGTTTGTAAGGAAATGTTACTAACAAAATGGACCAAATTGTAGTCTGAATTATAAAGTGTTATTATTATATTTATGCTGTTACTCCATCAAACTACGAGATTTCATATTATTGCCCCGTATTATTTGGGTTGTTTATTTATGTAATAGTTTATTGGGTCAGACAGGCGGTCCATTTGAGAATCAATAGATCTTAAAATAGCGTGTCGGGTTCAATGTTCACACACGCGGGTCATTTGTGTGCAAAACGGTGTCCCACCCCGCTTACATACTTACGAGTCGCGACAAATTTGCCCCCGAACGTATTATCCTGTTACTATAAATCCATAACAGTAGATAGATAGATAGATAATTTATTTGCATTACTTACAGCACACAAATTACAATACAAACATACACATAATACACTGTAAAAGAAATAAAAGAATGAAAATAAAATAAAGCAACAAAACAAAAAAAAAAAAACAAAAAGCAAAATATATAAACCAACAATTTCCTTTCTTTTCTTTCCTTCACGCGTGTGCCATAGTAACACAAAATGGCCACAACTCAGTTTATTGCTTTGCCCTTAAACGAGCAAAACACTGATATTCTGTTGTGGCCAAGAGTCAGTCGCGAAATTCCTTATTAAAAATAATAATAAAAAGAAATATAAATAAAATGCATTGTGTGTCCATTACATTCGCTTCTATTTGATATTATATTCTAAATAAATAAATAACATAGACGAGGGGTAGTCAGAGGTCACTTTCTGTCACATTCAGGCATTCAGGCAATAAATATTTCCGCTACGTACCTATTAGTTATGCCAATTTATTGTTTATTAATTAAAAAAAAATTAAGTTCTTTTTTAAAAATGTGTTTAGTTTTAGTGTCGTAAAAATTTTTGTAGTTACGTAAAATGTTTACTTTAGAAACAGTGACATGTCAAAAATAATGATACAAGCGTAGTTATATTAAATTCCACACAAACTTTTTTTCATAACAGTTTTTTCAAAATTTTTTCATCTTCACATAATACTAGGAAAACTGTATGAATAGAGCTTTTTTTATGATGGAAAACTGATGATAAAAAAATATTTAAATAATTTAAATCACAATTCACTTTTAAAGTCGTAATAAAACTGTTCCCTTCCCATAAATGCTTTAACGAACGAACGTCCAACTCATTAGGTATTAAACGTCTAAAAAACAAAATGACACGCTAAAAAAGATTATTTCCACAGAGACTGTGGTATTTTTAGATAAATACTAGGTATTTATATGAACATAACACAGTCTATATATTTTTTAACACATTACTGTCCGTTACTTCATACGCTTGGACTTCAAAAGTAGAAAATCTATTAAAATGGAGCACTCCTGATTGGTGTGTCAAAATAAAATATACATCAAATTTTAAGTTACACCTTCAGGAATGCAACTGTAAAAATCGCATTGAAATTAGCGCAGTAATTTTTGCGTGATGTCGGAACAAACATACAGGCAGATAAAATTTTAAATATACTGTTTTGTCGCATATTGGGGTCTTATTAAGACCCTTCCTATCAAATTAAATTTATTTAAACGTTTTTTAAACAGAATTAATTATCATTTATCCACTAGCGTAGTTTCGCGTGAAACCTTAATTTATTTAACCCAATCGTCATTGAAGAGGTATTAAGAGGCCATGGTAACATAATTTTATGTATGTCTCACACGCACATTAGTGTCGTCTAGTCGAAATTTAATTTTATATGAAGGTGCAAATTTCTGAAATTACTTTTTTTTAGTGGATTATAATGAAATGGCAACCCAATGGTATACGCTGGCGGGGTACCAGGGATGATAGATGAGAATTAAAAGGCAGCTATGCCTTTTATTGATCATCATATGTTTGAATTATCATAGACCTTTAAAATAACCTATGCCCACTGCTGGACTCACAACTATTTCCATAAAAGAAAGGTGTTTTAATCAATATTTTTTTAAATTTATTTCTATAAGTCTTGACCCGAGACTTTCCATGTCCGGAACATATTGTTACTAACCAGACTAAAAGGCATACTATATAAGTATTCATTCATTTTCATTTAAGAGTTTCCTCTTGTCGTTGCAACTAATTCATGCATCTTCCTCCAGCCAGCTCTATCCCAGGCCATATCCTTTATCTCCCTATACGACATGATGCCTAGTGTTTCCTTTATCTGTCCCATGTAGTTAATCCTCGGTCTTCCTGTTCCTCTTTTGACCTCTAAATTATTATATAAATTTATATAAGTATTAAGCTTTATAAAATGCAATGGATAAACGAATAAATATATTATCTTTCATCTAATAACGTTACCCGTCTAGCTACATTGGCAGAACCATAAAACAAACACAGTTATCTCGTATGACGCAATACTAATGTTCTAATTGAATAACCGAACGTCCAGCTCAATGGTCCACTCATTTAACAAAGCGCGTTTGTTTTAACTAACAAGAGTGCCGAGTTAAAATTAGCAAATATATATTTTTTATAGTACAAAAAGCGTTTCCTATAATGCAATTACAACAGTCAATAATACAACAAGCGTTTTCTATAATGCATCGAACATGTTATATAATGCAACGAGCATTTTTATAATACACGAAGCATGTTTCATAATACTACTTATATGTTATGTAATACAACAAGCACATATTATAATAAAACGAGCATTTTCTATAATACACGAAGTAAGTTTCATAATACCACAAATATGTTCTGTAATACAACAAGCACCTTATATAGTACAATGCATATTTTCTATAACACATGAAGCATGTTTTATAATGCAACAAATATGTTTTGTAATACAACAAGCACCTTATATAATATAACAAGCATTACCTATAATACATGAAGCATGTTTCATAATACGACGAAAATGTTTTGTAATACAACAAGCACCTTATATAATATAACAAGCATTACCTATAATACATGAAGCATGTTTCATAATACGACGAAAATGTTTTGTAATACAACAAGCACCTTATATAATATAACAAGCATTACCTATAATACGTGAAGCATGTTTCATAATACGACGAATACGTTCTGTAATACAACAAGCATATTATATAATGCAACCAGCATTTTCTATAATACGAGGTCTGTCCGGAAAGTTCGTATAAAAGTGTTCTGGAATGCGAGAAAGAGGAGTGGGGAGGCCAGGTAAGCGCAGGACCCCTTCCTTATGTCCCTAACAATGCTTCAGTTCTGGTCTGACCGCCGTCCGGTGCGAACTGGCTTGTCACGCCATCTGTGAAGTTACCTCTTAACGAAACCCCGTCGGCATGGAGCCCGCTTCCGTTGAAGAGCAGCGCGTCGTAATCAAGTTTCTCTCGAAACTCGGCAAGAATGGCCGTGAAATTTTTGCCGATCTCAGAACAGTTTATGAGGATGATGCTGTGAAGGAACCAACCGTCCACAAGTGGCTAAAAAGATTCAGAGAGGGCCGAGACAATGTTGATTGTTTTTTTCGATGTTCGGGAGATTGTCCATCAAGAATTCGTCCCTCCAGGCCAGACAGTTGATGGAAAATTCTACGTCGATGTGCTCAGACGCCTCAAAGCTCGTGTGGCACGAGTTCGTCCAGAATTGGCGCGAGAGGGGCGTTGGATTCTTCACCACGACAATGCCCCTGCCCACACCTCTCTTGTTGTCCGTGAGTTTTTGAGTAAAAATTCCATTACGGTGACCGAACACCCCCCTATTCGCCGGATTTGGCCCCGTGTGACTTCTTCTTGTTCCCAAAAACCAAATTGGTACTTCGGGGGCGGCATTTGGGGGACATAAATGAGATAAAAAAAGCTACGACGGGGCAGCTGAGAAACCTACAACCAGAGGACTTTCAAGGAGCCTTCTCACAGTGGAAACGGCGTTGGCACAAGTGCATTATGTCACAGGGGGAGTACTTTGAAGGGGATAAAATTGATTTACCTGAATAATTGTAAAATAAAATTTTTAAAAACTTTTATACGTACTTTCCGGACAAACCTCGTACATCGAGCATTTTTTACTAAGATAGCAATGATGATAACAATTCTTCTTGATAGGAAACTATGAACATTCACTACATCATGTTCTTCATCCGGGTATTGTTTGCGAATGCCAAACCTTGTGAAGTGATAAAAAACTTAAATCCTAGTATCCAGTGATTTTACTATAATATATTTAAGCAGTTCTGTTTAAGCAGAGTATACAGTGTCTCTTCGTTGAAATTGGGACACAGGATGCGAACATGCTTCTTGACGACGATAATCAATAAGTGTGACAGAGGTATCCATTCGAATAATTTATACAAATTTATGCAAATAATGTTATCCATCTTGTTTGTGCATTGTTCCTTCACAGAAAAAATGTATAGGATAAAATATATAGGCGCATCGATACTAAACGCGCCGGGATGGGTGAGTCAATCAATATTCTCGTAGTACGATGATTCTGCGTCAAGCCGGACTCGTCACATCAACCTATCAATACGTATAATAAAATCGTAAATGGTCGCTGTCTGTACTAGAAGATATATTAGAAAAACTATTATAGGGGGCTTTTTTTTAATGGGTGATATTGGTATGGCAATCGGTAAACACTGGCGGGGCACCAGTGATAGATGACTGATGAGGATGAAAGCAGATCAGTTAGCCTATCCTGACGAATTCAACTAGAATTAGCCACGATGCTTTCCAGGAAGGAACTACGTGGAGGTCGACCTGACAGGGTATATTGATAGTAATAGGGCTATTTGACCCTATTACGGAACCACACAGCGTATTACGTAAAAATAAAAACAATAAAAAAAAAATGGTCGCATAATTAACTTGTAAAAAAA